AAAATAAGAAAGTTTAATTGCAAATTAAAGGTGATTGCCTAATGCACCGCCTCTGATAATTAGGTTGTGTCTGTACTTACTTATATTATCTTGAAGAAGCATTTTCAACAGGCCTTTTACACATAAAGCATGTTTTCACCATATTATTAGAGATAATAAATCTTAAATATACATTTACAACCCTTACAACGTTATAAATATTAATATTTTTCGTAAAATACAAATAAGAAATTGACATGTGTCAGAAAGTGTCAGAACTGGCGCTCACAGAACACTTCTGGCGCTGTCAAACTTGGCAACGCTGATTAAATAAGCCAATTACAGAAGAGGTATTTTCCCCCTCGGGGGGAGTAGATGTTGCTAACAAAATTTAGCGCGGGGAAGGGGGGAAGACTCCCTCTAGTAGTAATTGCTCGGAGGCGTTACCCATGTCTACCATGGGGGCTATTTTCAAAGTATGGGAGTACTCATTTCTCTCAAGATTCTCATCAGAAATGTCATATGTCAATGTAGAAACCCTGTTTTTAAAGGCCTCAAGGATTAAAATTCTTAGGAGGATATTAATTATCTTTAAATAAACCGTGAGAAACAATCCTTAGGACCCTAAAAATACTGTTTTACGTTGACGTATGACATTTCTCTCGAGAGAAATGAATTCTCTCGACTTTGAAAATGGCTGCGTTCATCCGCGCCACATGCTACCTGATCGATCTGGTAGCGCTCTCGAGTGGCACGTATGAACGGTGTATTTTGACATTTCGCTCAAGGAGCGGCCGCCATTAAAAGTAGCGCATTTTATTTACGTCTGATCGGTGATCACTGATCTGTCTTACGCACTTACGTCCACGGTTTGCTTGGTGACTATACTCTGTTTTTAAACTAGGAGGAGCGAATTGAAAAGACGCATTTACACAGGTAAAAGTAACTAGATTTGTTACTAAGAGGTTTCGAAATATATTCGTGTTCAAAATTTATGAAATAATTATCTTTATCGGCCTTAGTCGGCGAACGGCCAATGAGCGGTTAAGAAACGAATAAATGTCATAGAAGCAATTTTTTAATTGGTCCCAGACAACGGTCGCAAATTTCACATTAAGATGCATTTTCCTTTGGGGTTTGGTTCCGGTTCTAGTTAACCAAATTAGAACCAACCATATTCCTTTCATAAACAATGACGTCACTTATAACCATTTGGTTAACATTTTTGAACCAGCCTCGCGAGTCGGTTCTAATTTGCGGTATGTTCTATCCTTATTTAAATAGTATTCTTCTCATTCTCTAACTTTTTAAATTTAGTTTTCCCGCGGAACCTAAATAGTTCCGTACGAGGTCAACTAAGAAAATAGATCTTACTAGACACTTTTCTTATAAATATGAATAAGGAAAAAAGAACTTAGACAATAATGTTAATAAAAGTAAAATATGTAGTGATCGACAAAACTTCCTAGAAATGTTTAGTATTCGAGATGAAATCTTCAAGGGCGTGTGTGTGTGTTTATTTTAACACAATTAAGATTAAGACTTGGACTGAAATGAGATTCAAAAAATGTGCCACTATTTTTCAAAAGAAGATTATCATTCTGTTTATCGCTAGAAAAAGGTCTGCATCGTTCGTTAAATGCTTTGTCGGTAGTGTCGGTTTTATTTCTATTTTATTTTAAAGAGTTTTAAATTAGTTAGTATTATTTTCGTCTGTTAATTGCCCTGTCGGTAGTGTCTATTTTATTTTTATATTAAAGACTTAAGTTAGTTAATATTTTTTCTTCTATATCATATAAAATTATATATATAAAATTGAGAACTAACTTTAAAAATGAGTCACACGTGGTATTTAAATTTACACCAAAATGACATATGACTGACCGAACCAATAACCCAATTCATTCCATTGGCTTTTGTTATGACGTCATCCATATGAACCAAAATCTGAACCGCTGTCAAAAATACTGTCAATTTAACGTCAACCATAACCAGAACCATACGTCAAAGGAAAACGACTATAGTGATCTGAAATGTGTCTAAAACGAAATGTCACTGTCAAATTAAAGTCAATATGGTTGTTGATTGATGTCAGAAATACTTTTTTCTTGCTTTTGAAATCGACTTTTTGAGAATAACTATGACCTTTTTAAAATGGATATTAAATATTTAAGAAAATTGTTAATGGAATATCCAGATGTAGCCAGGTTAGTATAAAATATAAAGATCTGTTTACATTTTTAAGGATAATTTGTTATAGGTATAAAAAGTAAAAGTTAATCAGTGAATGACAAGTGGATCACACAGTAACTGGAATCTCTTCTATGAGTAATGTGGATATTATGGCTTATTTAGTGTTAACCCATGGTTAATGCGCTAGAGGGCAAATAAAGGCATTCAAAAGTTTACAGGCCTATGAGTCAGAATTTGTTTTGAAAACTGGAACCAACATTTTCATAACACTACATGTCAACATATATTTTTTAAAGTGAACTATTCATACATACCTATGTATTAATTTTAAGTATTTTTAAAATATTTTTTGTGAAAATAATGTTAACTCATTGTGCCAAATTAAGATTATCCCTAAAGTAGTAGATGGTGTTTTAAATGTTATAATAATTTTGTAAATAGTTTTATTCTATTCTAATAAATAAAATTTGCTTGAATATTTAGTTACATTTTAACCATTTTGGTTAGAAATTCATCAATTTTTAGTTTTAAAAAATCAGTAATAAAATTATTTTTTTCTAAAATACTTCGGAATTCATCTCTTCATGGTAATCTCCCATCTTTTAACCTTCAAAAACCAATAATGCATTTTCTACGAAACCTTCAGAATCAGCATGTAAAATAATAAGGTGTCTTCCCTTTCTTGTAAGGCTTTTCAGGAATTGCTACCTTTAATAGTACTCAGTGTAGAAGGATCCATAATTGTAGATTTTCAATACAATTGCTTACTGAAGAACTATTATTTACGAAATAAAGTAAAAAACTAAGTAATGGATGAGATATCAAATTATAAAATGTCAGAACTGTCAACAATATCAATTATTAGCTGATGTTCATGCTAAAAAGTAATGTGTGAAACTGACTGTAATCTGACCAATCAGAAGGCTACAGAATTGCCAACTTAAATTCAAATCGCTCCTCTTAGTTTAAAAACAGAGTATAGTAGGGTTATATTAGCATATTAGCAATTGAAAAATAAACAAACAAATCTTCAACCAGAGACATTCAATTCAAAAGTAAAATGAATAAACCAAAATCAAATGTCACTTTTAAACATGGTTCATCCGTGCATAAAGATCGATCAGGTAGCGTAAGTGATCGCTACTTTTGTAGCGCTCCTTGAAATGGCGCGGATGAACGCAGCCATTAGCACCCCATGACACCCCCACAAAAATCAATATTCACCTGTCATTTACACTCCCACCACCTACCCCACCACCCGACTGCAGCGCCACGCGGACGTGGTTGATTGATCCCAGGCCTGCGCATACCAGTTTCCCACCCCTGGTTCACGTTTGGTTTAAGCCAGTGTTGCCACACCAATTAATTTTTTCGTAATAGAATTTTGAACCAAAAGGTAATAAAATCGTAATAGATAATATTTTAAAGTAACATAAATGTACCAGAAACTTTATTATTTAATGGCGCGTTTGAGAATCCACATCGGATGCATTTTTTACATCTCGAGCGTATTTTTATCCACATCGGACACATCTGTACCATTACATTTACGTATACTGAATCACGTGATCAAAGATTTACTACATCTCAGATGCATCCGATGTGGATTCTCAAACGCGGCATAAGTTGAGAGAAAATTATTTTTGCTGCTGCAAAAGAATGGGGTAATGAGAATAAACCACAAATTAATTTTTTTTAAATTTTAAACATATGGTTCATGCAGTGTTTTTTTTTATTTCAAAGATGTTAGCCCAAAATTCACCTAAAGGTAAATTTTTGTAATTTAGTATTTCTTCAGTCTTGAAGGGGTCTACTTTTCTATGGGGTCTACGTTATTAAAAACAATATATAAATTATGCTGGAGACTGGTGGTTATTCGCTACTAAACTAAAAACTGAACAATAACAAAAAAAATAATACAATAATAATAAAGTGACGCCTATCTTGGATTTGTTGAAACAAGAAAACACAGAAATAACAAATGCATAGATTTCTAATTTTTTAAATTATGGACTCTGAAGTTTAAATGGAGCCACTCATAAAATTTCGATATTTTAAAAGGTAATAGATTTTTCCTCTTTTCTTAAAAGTCGTAATAACGTACTGGTGTAACTTTTTAGTAATAGATTTGTTACAATTGTAATAGCAACGGCAACACTGGTTTAAGCCAAGACGCCATGACACCCCCACAAAAATCAATATTCACCTGTCATTTACACTCCCACTACCTACCCCACCACCCGACTGCAGCGCCACGCGGACGTGGTTGATTGATCCCAGGCCTGCGCATACCAGTTTCCCACCACTGATAAACCAGGGTCACTAAAGCTGACCCCCCAAAAATTGTTTATTGCAAATTTTTGAATTTCTATTAGCATAAATCGTTTGTTCGTTGTCTGTTCTTAATTGTTCGCAAATAATAATTGTTTGTTCTCATTTCGTTTATTTATAAAAGTAAAAAATAAAATTGATCCTCTATTTAGCCCCCAACAATTTTTTTGCAAGTTTTCGAATTTTGATTAGCATAAATCGTTTGTTTGTTGTTTGTTCTTAATTGTTCGTAAATAATAATTATTTGTTCTCATTTTGTTAATGTATAATACAAAATAAATAAATAAAATGTATTAACTATTTAGCCCCCTATTTGCAAATTATAATTTTTTAAATTACTATTAATCTTTAGCTATTTATCAACATTTGTTTAATTATAAATTAAGTTGGTTCTATCGATAATTTACTTTTTTTATGATATATCATATCACTCAGTACATGCAGGATTAAAACTCTTTTTAAAGGACTATTTTCATCCAAAAAAGCGAATGTATTTTTTATTTATTTTCGTCCAAAATATAAAAGACTCCGTGGGGTTCTACTACTTCGGTATGAAGAGTTGCTGATTCCGGTTTAGGCGAACAATCATTGTAAATTTCCCAATTTTCCGATAATCGCCGACAGTAAGCAAAATAGTGGCCTGTTCGATATGATAATCTAAAAATTTATAAAAAATGAAAGAATTAGTAAAATGGCTTAAAGTTAAATATTGTCAAAAGTAAGAAGTATACCTGTAACGTAGATTAGTTTCAGATCCATAATTATTTTTGAGTTTTAAGAAGCTTAAATAAATAGGAAGCTCGCCGAGTTTACAAGTTTTTCCCCTTTGTATACTAATATTTTCACGTATATCTAATTCAATAAATAAATATTTGTTAGGAACAGCAACACGTGTAGCATTTCCCTTCTTGCAAAATATACAATGAACATTGTATATTTTCTGATGAATTTTACAATCTGAACAATAAGTGGTTTCATAAATGCTTGGTGAATTTTTGAATAAAATATTCCACAAGTTACTGATATTATCGTTACAATTAATTACATTTAAATTTGTAATTTCTTGGTGATGTTCATCATTTTTTTTTATATAAATAGGTTTTAAAATAAATAGGCGTTGTTGGTAAAGTTCTGCTGTTGGCCCGTTTTTCATAAATTCTCTCAAAAACTTAAAAATCGTAATTTCAATATTTGCAATATATTCGTGAAAAGAAGTATTATCTAACGCAGCAGTGAATATTAATTGAATAATTGTGTCAAAAGGACAAGTATTGAATACTGTCCATTTTGTACCATTGAATTGCACTGGACCATTTAAATTACCGTTACGTAGTAAAAAGTTTTTGCGTTTTTTTATAATTTTGGAAGTTTTTTCATTCACAAAATTATTTTGTATGGCGATTTCTGGAAAATTTTGAAAATAACGACCAATTTTTTTATTAATGGATTTTCGTTCCGTCATAGTTTTAACAGAAACTGATAGAGGGACATTATCTTTTTCAAATTTAAATACTTCGAAGTATTTACATTGATTTTACTTCTATTTTTTACCACTTTTGGTGAGTTATTGAAATTAATGGGTTCAGTAGTATTAATCTGATTAGGATAATTTTTAGGCACAAATGTATCTAATTTTTCATTATCGTCATTGGTTTCAGTGGTGGTAACATAAGCATTTTGATTATGATAACTCGTTGAAGGTGATAGATTTAAAATATTATTTACATTGTCAATAGAACGAAAACAATTTTCATTCATTAAATTAGTAACACCGATATAATTTTGGCCATTTTCTTCTGTGAAGCTCGCACTATAATTATGATCATTATGATTCTCCGATGGATGGATGGATGAAGTCACTTCCCTCTCCTGAGTTTATATAATCATTAATCCAATCGTAATCTCTTGCTTTTAAATTATAATTTGAAAACAGGGGGCTAAATAGTTAATAAATTTTATTTATTTATTTTGTATTATACATAAACAAAATGAGAACAAATAATTATTATTTACGAACAATTAAGAACAAACAACAAACAAACGATTTATGCTAATCAAAATTCAAAAACTTGCATAAAAATTGTTGGGGGCTAAATAGAGGATCAATTTTATTTTTTACTTTTATAAATAAACGAAATGAGAACAAACAATTATTATTTGCGAACAATTAAGAACAAACAACGAACAAACGATTTAAGCTAATAGAAATTCAAAAATTTGCAAAAAAAAATTTTTGGGGGGTCAGGTTTAGTGACCCGATAAACCATTAAAAAAGACAATTGACAAGAAAAACTGACAAGTGACAATTGACATAAAACTAAACGTTCTGAATTCAGATTTGTAATGTTTACGGTAGGTTAACTAGGTAAATAACAAATAGAAGTTTTGCGAGGTTTTGATTTCCCTCAACAACTTCTCATGAACGTTGCATTTACGTTGTACAGTTATGTTATTACGTTCCCTTAATGCAACATCGCCGAAAGGCTTGGCAACGTTATGTGCTAGCTGGGGATGAACAATTTGAACAACCCTTGAAAGGAAGAAAAACAATAAATAAATAAAAGTAGAGTCAGAAATTTAAGTCCTAAAGAGAAAAAGTTGTATTTTATTAATATTTGATAAGAGAAGTTGTTCAATGAGACATAGGTATGTACACTTTTTGTTTTGTTTTTATAGGAAACACTGGACACTCAACAAAATATGGTCCATTTTTCCAAGAATGGGGGAGACTACCTACTATTCATTTATTTTACTTACAATTGTTATTTAATATTGAGCTCATGTATGTATGTATTACTGTATAATAAATAATTAAAATATGTTTCAAATATTTTATTTTAATGTAAATATTTTTTGTTTATATTTTTTGGGGTTTTGTTACGAAAAAAAACTAATATTTATGTTAAATGCATTATTTTGATGTAAATATTAGTTTTTTTAGAGTAATGAAATGCCAAAAAAATGTAAATAAATAAATTATATTTGAATGAATCGCGGTTCGCTTAAAGCTCTTCTTTTTTTATTCGGCCTCTAACTGGCAATCAATCTGCCAGTGTAGTTCAAAAAAAATCCGTTCCATACTAATTCGCAGCACTATTTGTTTCCAAAAATTAACACGGGAACTGACTATCTTCTTTATTAATTTATCTATGAGTGGAAGTGGAAAATTTGTCCGTTAGAAGTTGTATAAATAATCTATGGTTAGAAGTTATAGAACGGTTATTTATGTCAATTTATGTGTGTATTTAAGTTTGAATTGAACTAAAAATTCAATTTTAGTTACATGAGAAATGAAGAAAATCAGTTATATTTTATTCTATTTATTGATTATTTTAAATATAAATTTGACTATAGCTCATTGGTTATCTAGTATTGGAGGATACTTGGGATATAAAACTGGTGAAAACCAAAGTGACAAAGACATTTTTGATCAAAAAATTCCTTATGAAGTTTCCACGGTTGACGAAATTTTTTTAAAAGAAGCTGCCAAGCTCACTGATCTTGCTTTGTCTGAATTAGACTCTTGTCAACATAGGGTAA